GGGCTGCTTCTCAGTCCGCAGTGCATATTACCTTGGGCTGCAGGAACGGACGAACTCACAAGGTACAGTAGCATGTAGTGCTCGGCCTGATGGAAGAAGGCCAGTGTGGGACTTGATCTGGAAAAATAGTGCACCAGCGAAGGTACGTATTTTTGCGTGGAAGGCAGCTAAGGAAGCTCTAGCTATGCAAGCTACAAAAAAGGATCGACATATGGAACATGACCACACATACAAAGTATAACATCAATATGCCCGAATCCGCCATCTTGGTAGCATCTGCCGCTACTCCTATTCAAATGATGAAGGGGTGCAAGCTGGGCCACATACCCATACCTCTCACCTAAGCCTAACATCTAAAGCCGGAGGCCCCGACCGAGCCATCTGCTGGGTCTGGGGCTCATACCGGTCTAATGCACTCACATGTGTCGTCGCCGCCATCTTTCACTGGTCCATATTCAAAGAAGATTGAGGTGACAACCTTGGCAAGTCCTCCGCCATCGACGCCACCACGTGCCAAATGACGGCCTCCACCTACGCGAGCCTTGACAGGTCCTCCGCCATTGACGCCACCACGACACCAGCCGACGACCTCCACCTACGCGACTCCATCTCCAAGCAACGGACATAAATCCATGCAAGGAAAGGGCCGCACCACCGCCGTCGCCCACCACCCACAAGCGCCACCCAACCTCAAGGTTCCCAAAGCGGCGCCTTCAAGAAGGGAACGACGCCGTGAGCGCTGACGCCGCCCAACAGAGTTAGGGCTATCGCCCGGGAAACCTAAGGAAAGGTGAAGTGAGGAGACCAGTCCATACCGACGCCTCCAAAGAGGGAAACGTCGCCCTCAGGCGTCACCGTCGGCGCGGCCGGTCATGACCGGCCAGGGATTTCGCCCGAACTAGATCTCCGCCACCAGCAGCACCTCATGTACAAAACCGGCGACCAAGAGGAAGCGCAGCCCGACCAGGCTGGTTCACGCGCCAAATAGGGGAGGAAGGGACGCGCCAGACCGCACACACCGACCGCCGCAGAAGCCGCTGCCGGCCGCCAACAACCACCGGATCCTGCCGCTCACGCGGCCGGGACACCGGATCCACCACCCGCACGGCTGTTAGCCGGCGTGCCTTGTCAATGGAGTCGTCGCTCCATATCCGGGGTTCCCCACACAGGAGCAGGGCAAACGAGGCCCCACCGCCACCATCCTTGGCGCCCCGGGCTTGCCCGGCGGCTGCCTCAGGCAGCAGCGAGGGAGGAAGGAGGGAAGGGGGTGAGGAGGAGGGGCGGCTAGGGTTGGTAGGAGGCGGCGGCTAGGGTTGGGAGGAGGCGGCCCTGATGTGCGAGTTTGGATGACCTGCTGAGTTTTCCACCCAAAAAAAGGATAAACATTTATATACTGAAAAATGTTTCTAATGTATACAAAAATTGTAAAATGTGTATAAAATATGGTATATGAATCTCGATGTAATTTTTATTATTTCTAGTGTCCCTTGTACTGCTGTGATTGAAGCTGAACAGATCAAAAGCTTCAACGCAAAAATAACATATATATGAAAAATGTTAATTATGTAAATTGAAAAAGTTAAACGTATATATTAAAATATATTCCTGATGTATACAAAAAATATACATTTTGTATGGAATAAAGTAGACACTATATATATGTACATAAATGTTAATCATGTATCTGAAAACTGTTAAACTTGTATATAAAAATGTTCCTGATATATTAAAAAAAATTATGTAGGGAAAAGTAGACATAAAAATACAAATTTCAAAAATGTTAATCATGAATTTGAAAAACTTTAAATGTATATAAAATTGTTCTTAGTGTATACGTAAAATGTAAAATTTGTATGAAAAAAAGTTGACTTGAAAATATATGTTTGAAAAAAAATGTTAACCATGTATTTGAAAAAACATGTTAATCATGTATTTTATAAATGATAATATGTTTATTGTTACATCCATTTGTCCCTCAGATGTTAACCATGTATTTTAAAAAATGTTAACCATGTATTTGAAAGATGTTTAACATGTACGAAAAAAGTTTATTGGATGTAATTTTGTTGGCACAGGCTAACAATATGGTTATACCATTAAAAAATGTTCCTAATGTATACGAAAAATGTACAATATATATGAGAAAAGTAGACATCAGAAACACACTCCCTCCGTCCAGAAATGTTTGTCACTCAAATGGATGTATCTAGTACCAAGTTAATATATGTTTGAAAAAAACATGTTAATCATGTATTATATAAATGATAACCGTGTATAAAAATAATGTTTCAAATGTGTACAGAAAAATGTACAATGTATATGAAAAATAAGCATAAGAAACATATAGTTTATGATAAAATGTTAAACATGTCAAAAACAATGTTCCCTATGTATATGAAACATGTGTAAGAAAGTGTTCCTTATGTGTAAAAGCAGATATTTGACAAAAAATGTTAATCGTGTGTTTAAAAATATTCAGTGTGTATAAAAAATGATTTAGATGTACACGAAATAAAATCATGTATTTGGAAAATGATAAACGTGTATAATGAATCTGACTCTAATTTCTTTCTCGCACAAGCGGTTTCGCTCTCTATACTGCATCTGGTTAGTGATACATGGCCAATTCTCTTCTCTTTTTCTCCAGATTCTCCTTCACCCCTCTTCATTTTCCTTCCCTTCCCTTCCCTTCTCTTTCTTTATCCATGTCCAAATTCTACCACCGCGTTCATGACATTCACCTCCCCGCGCACACCAGATCTTGAGCGCGTCGTCACTAGGGTCTGCCATCGACTAAGGACTCCAACGAACAAAGATAACGACAAGATAGATCAGGCAGGTTATGCCAACAAACGAGGTGGCTTAGTGCAGGGAGGGGGCATGGTAGGGTTGTGGTGACTGTCGAGAGCATAAAGCCTCCACTGTCGACCTCCACCAAGGCCTGCAATGCTGGAGTACAGTACCGGGCAGCACCCTTATGACGACAACGATCCGGGTGTCCAGCACGGTGAGCTCCGAAGTGTTACCCATGTTTGCGATGATGAAATTCTGGGGTTAGCTGTTGTATTCTTATGGTTTTTAGGGTTAGCTTCTAGTATCATAGATCAGTGTTCAGGGTTTAGGCATTTGAATTTAGGATCGGATCAAAGTATTCAAAGCATGCATAATGTAGCATGCCGACGATGAAAAAAATATCACTACTTGATTTTACCCAACCACCTTTTCTATTCTCCAGACTGCTTGAGTTATTTAGGTGATTATATTTTTAAACTTTCAAAATTATATTACCAAGCTATTAGTACATCCATAAATATTTTTTCCTATTATCAACATGGTTATTTAAGGGGGCATGTCCTAAGTCTCACCGCCATTGTGACTTTTTGGTGCATTACACAAGATACTTTATTCAGGAAGTGTGTTGTATAACTAAAATGTCTAAGCGGCGATGAATGTACTGCACACAAAATTCTGGAAAGAACTGGAATAATCGACAATGGACACCTGCTACTCCAGACAATGATTTTTGTCTTCAGGAGTCATAAGTGCATCTTCATTATGGATACATGTTGTGTGTCTTTGTCTTCTAAATTCGGTTAATCGACTTCATATCTAGAAGCAGAAATGATCCTTAAAATGAAAACGCTGCTGACAATAGGTCCTGGAAGGTATAAATATTCTAAGCAATCTTCATTCAATTACATAAGTTTTTATTGTAATTCATAACTTGCAAACAAAATATATTTCAGACACAAATATTACATTTTAGGGGCACTACATGAAAAAGATAAGGTTCTAGCTCCTCCACCATTCATCTCTCCTAATGTGCATAATTTTTGCACATCACAAAAGAATTAAAAGGAGATCTACGGAAGATGTCATGGAAATGAGAGATGAGTAGACTACTCGAGACAATGACATAGTATAAACACATCTCAAAAGACTTATCTTTTTAAGTTTTAGAACAATGTTTTGTATGTTGTCCGTGAAGTATGTAAATGTACATATTGGCTTTGAATATTTGAACATATATTCATATGTATTATGTGATATAAATTGTGCAAATGAACAATGTATACTTGTGTATTGTATATGAATGTTTTCTATGAATTTCATTTGCAGGGTTGGTGTAACTATCCAATCACAGGTTGGTGAGCAGTTGAAATTTTGACTAATTCGATTTGAAAAAACAGAGGACGTACTAACAGATCCAGCTTTCAAACTAAAAGCCCGTAACAATAAACAGATGGAAAAGGCCCGTACTAACAGATCCAGCTCGATGAGGGCTCGGTCTATCAACGTTGGGCAATGGCTCCACCCGAAGTTCCCCTCTGTTTGTCCTACTGACTAAAGTTCACTTGAAGGACTCCGTTGACTACATACTAGTGCTTATTCTGTTTACTTCTATAGGGCGTGTAGTCTTTGGTGCTTGTAAGCTGCTTCGGCATCACCGTGTACCTGCAGTTTATTTTCTTTTCTGTTTTCAGTTGGTTGTTTTGGTGGCCTTGTGTAATCCCTGGCCGGTTGATGGCTTTGTTAATTCAAAGTCGGGCTCTTCTTGAGCCTTCGTTTAAAAAAAAGGCCCATTGCATAACCGTAAGCTCAACTTCAATATTATTTCCGCTTGGCAGTTGCCACCGCAGATCGAATGCGGTTGCGTTGTCCACGACGGGTGCCAACTGTGCAAAGTTCGTTCGCTGGCTTTATTGACCGAAAGCATCTCGGCACCACCGCTTTCTCTTCAATTTTCTGGGCTTAACTCGATTCAGCCATTACCTTCTAACCACTAGCACATGCACGCATGACCGGTAATCAAAACAAAACATTATTGCCGAGCGCTAGATCTCCTTGGGTGTGCCTATATATGGCCATGGAGGCAAGAGATCGACCATCCAATCCATCTACCACATGCATAACAACGTAGTACACCACAAGAATTAGGCACTCAATATCGATCGCATCGACAATTAATCGGGCAGCCCAGCTAGGCCAGCTCAATCTCAATGAGCTTGCTGCGATCGAAGCTCGTGGCTGTCGTTCTGGTCATGACAGTAGCTGCTGCTGGCGGCCTATCCTTGCTGAGCGCGGAAGAAAGGCCAGCTCTATCTCTACTCCGTGGCATGGCGCCGTCAACGCCGAACTCGGTGGGGGCCGTCGAGTTGCCGTGGCGGCGCCATGTGCTGCGCCGGGGACAGAAGATCCTGGCCTGGCGGTGGCGCCACAATCCGCCCTCCGGCCCGAGCAGCCGTGGTCACGCCGTTGTCACCGTCTCGCCGGACGACGAGGAGAAGAAACAGGGTCCCGCAGAAAGCATTGGTCCATCAGTGCCATGACCAACACACGTACTCCATCCGTTCCGAATTACTTGTCTTGGATTTGTCTAGATACGGATGTATCTAGACTCATTTTAGTGCTAATACATCCGTATCTAGACAAATTTAAGATAAGTAATTCGGAACAGAGGGAGTATGTGTATGATTATGAAATATGAATACGGTCGATAATATGAATCGCGTATATGTATGATACTGTACACATGAACGCATCCATTTAAGGACTCATGCATGCATTGCATGAGCTGGAGTATGTATTGAGTATGCGGACGGTCTCCTTATATAAATACTACTACAAGGTAATGTACAACGAGCAACCCATTAGTATTTTGTGTAATTTATTTAGTCTCACAATTTTGTACTAGCATGCATCTTGTGAGTTAGATTTCGTATTTGTTTGTGTTTGACTACGCGAAAAACCATGATGCAGACAACGATAGAGAAAATGAAGGCGAAGCACAAGCATGCTTTTGTGCAGTGCTAATGCTACTAGGGCTCTTCCTTTTGTTCTAGAGATGAATGCTACTACTAGGCTTTTTTTTTTGAGGGAAAGGAATGCTACTAGGTTACTAGCATTCTGTATGCAGGCGAGGTAATTTGTTTTCTTCGAAAATAGGCCCAAGGTGGTATGGTACCACAGTTTAACCGAGCTTGTACATCCAGGTCACTGCCACCGTGCATTGCTCCACTGCACATCAGTCTAAATAAGAGGCGCACGTCACCAAACACCTACCAGGAACTAAATGCCATGTATAAAATCCGTGTGATCAAATGATGCACTGATCCATCAAAAAAGCAAAAGTGGGCGACATGTCACTCTTCTCTTGATATTCGTATGCTGATTTTAGCTGGGTAGTTTCGTTGTATAAATTACTACCTCTGTACCGAAATACTTGTAGTTCGGAGAACTTGTACAGAGGGAGTACAAGTTGTGCAAACACGTGCTAAAGTAGTTAACCTGATGTCATGGATAAATCAAGGGGGTTAACCATGATGAGCTGTCCTGCTGATGAGGTGACAAACATGCAAAACTTATTGATGTATAGATGAGTTGCATGGATTTAAAAAAATAGTGTGTTGCAGCCATCCAAGAAGAAATAGAACACATATTTTTCTATTTGCGCGGGAAATGGAGAAGATGTATTACACGTCGTCCGTCAATCCCATCCCATCCCATCCATTAGTCGGTAGCTGCCATATACACTCAAACTTGTACTCCATCTGTCCCAGAGAGATCCCCCACAACAATTCCTTAAGCGCTTTTACATGTTTTTGTTTTCAAGCATCCACAAATAGGCACAATGCCTATTCATCTGCGGTCAAATTTTTTAAGGATGCCATAAGTAGAACACATGTTTTCTTGAAAGCATGAGAAAACTAGACAAGAGAGAGTCCCCGTGTCATCGGTGTGCATGACACGGGTGACAACCTGATCCAGTTTCTTTGGTCGCATGTTCCTCGAGCGTCCTCCCTTGAGGCCACCAAGCATATCCCACGCAGTCGATGGCGACAGCAGGGCTCTTTTTGTGGGGCAGTTTTGCGGCATTCGCATGCAATGGCTTGAGGCAGTGGAGATGAAAATGCAGAGCTAGTGGCATTGTTGCGAGCTTAACGGCAGCTGCTGGTGTTGAAGGTGGCGGCTAGGCACATCTCGGAGGTAGTGTTGGCAGAGTGGCATTCGTGCCCGGTGGTTGGGAAATCTGTCATGCGACAACGATCCCATGATATGCGGGTTCAAGTGTGTCAACGGTGGGCCGAATGTTGCGATTCGGGCATCTCGTGGAGCCATTGATATATTGATATGCTTTAACCATATTCATAATTTAACTCTAGTGATTCAGTAGAAATGAGTTTGCATGTCTTTATGATTTATCTAGAATAACATGTTAATAAAGTCCTAGACTAGTTTTGGTTTCATGGAAAATAAGCATTTTATGCTCACAAGAAAAAAATTGAGAAGTGTTTTTGGACGACAAGAGCACCAACGCTGAAGAAAAGGGTAGTGTAGGTCAAAGGAGGCCCAGGCGCCCTATGGTTGAGGTGCATGTGCTCAATAATGCCGCTTTGCCCCTGTGCACCTCCAGATTACATATACACCAAAACCCCTACATAGATTATGTCACAATTTTCTGTGGCCACCACTACTTAGCATTCCAATGTGTTTTCATCTACAACCATGTTCTGGTACCTTGCTGGAGCAGGAATTCATACCATCTTCATAAAAAAATGATCTTCGCTGCTCCATGATGATGTTTGAGTAGTTCAACCCCTAAACTATTGCTGCCTGGAAGTGGTCATGAGGCAATCTCTCACTTCCACTTCAATACAATGATCACACGAGCTGCCTAACAATATTATGAGCCATCTAATGTATTCTCTATTGTGATTATGCCTATGTGTTGAGTTGTTACTTTATAATATGATTATATGTGATTTTTATGTTTGATTAATAGATGTATATTGCTCTTTGATTATTTATTTACTTATTCATAGGACAGTTCGAGTGAATGACCAATAGTGCGAGTGATATGCCTTAGTTTAGTTTAATTTTGCAAGTGAGGTACCTCGGTGATAGTAAGAGGATAATACAATGGTGTCGGTACTAAACATAAAAAGCCAATAAACTTGTGCTGTAGAGCACTCTACTTATTACCGGATAAACTGTAAGGATGTTGGAAGCGTCATATATGTGTCATGTATTTTCAGTGCAGATGTCTATATATGTTGTCTGATTGATGCTTTTTTTAGGAAAAACGTCGTTTTCTTCTTCTTGTTAACTTGCTAGTGAATGGTGTGGCTAGTACTCCAATAGGCATTTCTTTTCGGTTCTGACTTCCCTCTACAGCGGTTCTTGTGCTCTGTGCAAGCCATCTAGGTAGTCTGGCAGCGGTGCAGACCTAATTTAGCTAGGTTTGGAATCCATTTGTGTGGTTTTCGTCCATTTTTTCCTCTTGACCGAGCTATGAGAGAATATAGCTCCACCTTTCGTCGTCAACTAGGTCAATTAAATTCTTATTAATGAAGTTGCAGACACCCATTGCCCTTGATTGTTCGAAAAGATGATTTTAATCCATTATTACTTAAGCTAACAGACGTTACTGAGTTTGGAAAGGTCTTCTACTTAACGTTAGTACACTACAACTATACTTCAAAGTTTAAAGAGTAAAATACATTTGCGACTGATAGTAGGTACATAGATACTTTAAGTAAGGCCCTATATGTCGGAAATTGGTTTTGGATTCCGAGCTCCATCGAGCTCGGGTTTTTGAACAATAGAAAATCCATACTCTGAATTTTCAAAAAATTCTGAAAAAAAGGAACAGATGAACCTAAAGATATGTACTACATCCACTTGAATTTGCATGATTAAATACGTTGTGGTTCAAGCTACACAAAAAAAATGCCTTTCAAGCATATGCACTTTTCGCTATGAAAGTCTATGCTTTTTGTTAATACAACTCACATCAAAGCGTATTTGAAGTTTATAGATAAATAGTATCCATCTCAATGTTCATGTGTATTTTTTAAGTATTTTTTGAATTTAAGACATAATTATTTATTATTATTTTAAAAAACAAGGCTCCATGGAGCTCGGGAGCAAGAATTTCACTCTTCCTATAAATTCAATGCTTCACATCTGCTTCGGTACACCCCCCTTAATTGAATCAAGGGTGAAGATTAAGACATACCCTTTCACTTAAGAGCGTATGATGGTCAATTTAAAATTAATTAATTAATTAATCGATGTACTCCCTAATTCATTACTTTGTCTTTTGTATGTATTATATCATGTATCCATGGATTGGTAACAAATACGCCAGATTCGAGTGGCAACGATGTGGTGACCGTCGTCGTTGAACACGTCCACCTGTCTACTCTCCGTCTACTTTTCTCTCTCGACGCCGTAGGATTACTAGGGCTCGCGTTTCTCATCGCTCGGTCTCTCAGTTCGTCATTGGAGGCATGAGTTGAGCCAGGAAAAAGATGAAATAAATGGGATATTAATTAGCATAGCCTGGATGCCACCTAGTACTTCCGGTGATAACTGGATATACTCTTTCCTCTCGTGCACAGACTTGCTCAATCTTAGCTGATGGATTAAAGCTCGATCGATTCCTTCCTTATCGATTCCTTCCTTCTCATGTAGAAGATGAATTGATCGCTGATTCATTCTTGCCATTGGCCGCCGGCCAAATAAACACTAGTAGAAAATAGGGCATCAGTCCCGGTTCTAGAGGACCTTTAGTCCTGGTTGTGCAATCGGGACTAAAGGCCCCCACTTTTTGTCCCAATTGGGTTACGAACAGGGAATAAAGGAGCTCCACGTGGCTACTGCGGGGCGCCGAGGGGGGAGGACTTTAGTCCCTGTTCGTGACACCAACCGGAACTAAAAAGCAGCCACGTGTCAGCAACTGCCGGGTGCTGGGGTTTTTGGTTTTCTTTTTAGGAAAGGAGGAGTTATGGGTTTTGGAGGGTTTAGGGGTTTCATATTGTGTTTTTCCCTTTTCTTTTTTTGTTTACCATTCAATTATTTTGCATTTAGGGTTTCATTTTTATTTTATGTTTTTCATTCAACTCGACGCTAGCTACTACATATAGCAATGAAGCAATCATTAATTATACAACATCGTCATGAACATATATAGAGAGAAGTGACCTCTCTTTCTCCGTGCTTGGTCGAACAATAAGTTTTCGTATATCTATTCAAACAACAAGTTTTTGTATACCTGTAAATACCAACGAGGGTTCCCCCACAATTTTAATTAGAAGATACCCCGCGTGTTGCTGTGGTAATTCTATCACTCAAAAACATGCTGACTCACACCTAAAAAAACATGCGGACTTGAGGAACATGAAATATACATTGTGGGTGATAATTATTTGATATTTTAGCAGAATTTGCATTAGCAAATCTTCGATACATAAAACAAAAATACCAATACACATAGGTACAAATTATTAGTGTTACTTCTATATATTTGATAGTGGCATGCAGTTGT